CACGACCACGACCACGACCACTACCACGACCACGACCACGACCACGACCACGACCACGACCACGACCACGACCACGACCACGACCACGACCACGACGACGACGACGACGACGACGACTACTGCTGCTACTTCTTGTACTACTACTTCTTGTACTGCTGTTGCTGCTACTACTACTGCTGCTGCTGCTACTACTAGCACTACTACGGCTACTAGTGCTGTCAACAATAAGAAGAAGAATAGTCTAGAACCATAGCAATAAGAACCATAGTAATTACTGCTACTTCGTCTGCTGCTGCTCCTGATTCTCTCCTTGCTGCTGCTCCTGCCATTGCTGGCACTACTGCAACCACTTTCACTACCAGCACGACTACGACGACGACTGATATTTCTTTGATGTTATCATTTCTCCAACATATAAATAAGAGACTTACAATCGCGTGACACTGGTTTCGCAGCACTTGGGCCCAACATCCTCTTCACATCGCTGTGCAGATGTGGCAAGATATGGCAAGGAAAAAGTGCTCTTCGTACAAAAGGCCATTCTGAGATGGAGGACTTTTCAGAAAGCCTTTTTTCAAAAAAACGCATCCACACATCATCTCACATCATTCTGTCATGTAAGTGCAACTTTCCTGCGTGCAGGTTGCGGGAGGCTCGGCCTTGGAGCAGCGCTTGTTGCCGGTCTTCCGGGAGCACGACCGGCGGGGCCGCCCAGGAAGATGGACAGCTTGGCGCCGGCAACGGCTGCAAAACTAAACGGTAATAACACCAATAATAGACAGATAGCTAGCAATGATGACACTAGCAACCATCTCCGTAATCGCAGCAGGGACCGGCAGACAGAAGATAGACAAAGGGTATGCTTCGCTGTAGTCCTGGTTCGGTAGCAAAGGTCCATCCTGATTGCGGCATGTTGTTGACACCTCCACAATGATTGCACAAAGTACCTGCACACCTGACGAGAGGACTACGTAGACGAATAATAGAAAGACATCTGTCCCGAGAACTGCTGACCTTTCCGAGAATCTTCCAGTTGTGTGGGCACCTGCAAATGTACCCAAGGACGTAGGCATGGCATAGATATCTGTGCGCACGTGTTCGCGTCTGCCAGTGGACAAACTTCTACAAAAACTGCCGCTGCCCTGCTTGCTTGAAAACTGCCAAAGCTTCAAGCAGGGGCAAAAAGCAGAGCAAAGCAAGCCGGTAGCGTCAGGGCCAGCAAAACCGTTGTATTCTGGCGATGCCATCTGCAAGCGATACAGGCATCCAGTTCCACAGTTCACCCGGGCCGTGAGGATAAAGGACCACGAGATCGTGCAGTCAAGTATCAGTGATCAAAGCGTAATAAGAAAACGATCAGCCGATAAGCTGCGCAGGAAGAGCAAGAAGGGACAGACGGAGTCGCTAGCTCCGAGGCATTGACGAACCATCAAAGGAACATAGCACCCACGATACAGCAGCGAGAAAGCCTTCGTACAGAACAGAGTGCCGTGGAAGCGCAATCATAAACCTTGATTGAACCGTTTTCGGCTTTCGGATGGCGTTCCGTGGCGAGGTTGCCGGAAACTCCTGACGATGTCAAGAATCAAGAAGTATCAGCATTTGAGGCTACGAGACATTCCAAATCCACACCGAACTGAGAAACTCGGCGCCAAAGACCGAGATCGAAGCGTGCGATCTTTTCATGCTCTCTTTCTTACAGCAAGCACATCGCACCTAGGTTTGCGTGTTGTGGGTGTGTTTTGTCTTGAGCTTCTTGCGAGAGTCCTCAGCGACCAATGTCTCGCTCTTTAAAGTGTTCTATGTTCTGTTCGGGTTGTCAGCACAACAGGTCGAAGCTGACCGAGATCCGGGGTTGGCAGGCACAAGTTTTGTTGGTTGAGGGCGCCTTGCCTTTTTCTGTCAACGACGAAGAACCTTACTGCTTCAGCTGCCAGTCTGCATAGCTTTTGAGTCAACTCCAGACATGAGGTCGCAGCATGCCGAGCGCATGGCTTTGCTGTCTGTGGCCGCAAGCGCTGCGAGCCAGAATCAGCGTTCTAGACCAGACCTTCAGGAGACTCGACTGAGCACTTGGCCTTGTCAGTTCCTGCATGGGCATTGCCAGGATTGTAAGCATAGCTCAGCCGCTTTGCACATGCGTGAGGAGAGGGCAGCCGACAGAGAATTCACCTTCGGCTCCGTGCGGCTCTATGCGACTCACACACTCTGCATTTCTTGCCTGGCAGTTTGCTGCCAGTTCCACCGCCACTTGCTTCGATTGGATCGCTGGTTCTTGAGGGTGTTGAAAGTTTTGCAGCAGTTCACTGTGATGAAGCTACTGTATGTTGCCGAGCCATGTGCGACAACCTTTCACGACACAATGGCTGTGCTCTGGTGCCAACAGATTTGCTCTTTGCAAGGACTATTTCCGCGCGTGTCGCTGAAGGCCCGCAGGGTCAGACACCCATGCTTGGAGCTCGAAGTAGTGCCCAGATTGCTCGCAAGCCGTGGACTGCTGTCGGAGGTCGAAATGGACACATGGGATGAGACCCTGCGCTGGTCGTGTCGAAAAGCCCGTGCAGAGCGATCCACACAACTTGACTAATGCACAAACTGTCAGACAGTAGCCCGCGAAACAAAAGTCGTGTGCCCCACGAACAAGGATTGTGCAGCTCGCTGCTATCGAATTGGTTGGTTGCTTTCAGCTCCAGACGTAGCTCAACTCAACCTCACGTTTGGAAGCCCGGTTGTTCTCCTTTCGCAGTACCGCACCTTCCGGCCTCCAGCTGGCGGCAGGAGAACACCACTTCGCATGGCCAGGAAGGGCGTGGACGGCCTCAACGCCTGAGGTGGCATTCGTTGCCAGTTTGAAGTTCCACTCCCCAGGAATTCGGAAACTTGAAACTGCGAATGGCCTTTGCCTCCTGAACCAGACAGTGTCTTTTCACCTTGGGCCTTAGCCTTGCGCTTAAACCAGCCCGAATCCGTCGCATGCATGTGTTACTTCCTGCAGCTTCTGTCTGTGCACCAGGGGGACAAGCCCAGCAGCGGGGACTGCATGAGGTTTTGACTCTGCATATGCAGGCTCGCAGCCGAGAGTCCTAGGCTGGTGAAGTTTCAACTCCGGCATGCAATCGCAGCTCACATCATTGATGTCTTGGATTTGCACGGCTCTTAGGTTTGACATCGCCAGTTAATGTTGCGGAGCTTTACTTAAGCCCGATGGCTGTGTCATGTTTCAGAGTTTTGTGAGCAATATCATGCGTATTATTGGCATTTGGGTGCACCTCAAAGGGCTGCAAAAAGAGGCAGCTCACGGTGTTACGACCGGAGTTCTCAGAAATTTGTCTCGGTGCCACTCCTTAGATCATAGAACATCATGCCGTCTGTCAGCTTGCATGCCCTCATGCTGCCATGACCTGCACTCCCAGCTTCGAGAGCTTCCCTGAGCGCTTGCGCTTTCCGTCTGAACGGTCTAGCCGGGGCCTCAGGAAGATCATGTCACACCAAATAGGTACAACAAGTACGGTACCAGTACTGCTTTGTCAATAAAGATCCTTTAAGCAGCCTGAACATGTGCAGTAGGATTTATGCCAGACAGCCTTATGTTCTGCAGTGGGGTGTAGCTGGCTGACATCAGAAACCAACAAAATTAAATTCGAGTATTGACTTCAGACTCGCGCGTGGGTCCTGTATTGCTGCAGACGCGAGAGATTCTTGCTAAATATTCGGCAGCGGGTTCACACAAATGAGACGGGCATTGACCCTACTTTGAGTCGTGACAAGAGACGACATCCCCCTGCCGAATAGCACGTGAAAGGGAGAGAAACGAACAGTTCAATGGCACGTACCGGAACCGCCCAATCCATACCATCACGCCCCTGCTCCGAGGGTTTGATCTGGTGGATGACTGCCGCCGTGTCTTCAGCGCCCGCAGCGTTGCCAAGGACCCTTATTCGACGAGAAGCATCTATGATCAATTATGATCATCTGTGTGGCTCACTTGCTAAGACTCCTTCCCGTTTGGTAGCGGCTTCAGATCCCGTGTTTCCGGCCAAAGTAGGGCTACATGAAGACGAACCCCTGGACAGAGAAAGTAAAGCATACAGCAGCTGCCCAAGCTCGAACGCGACCATCAGCTTTTGCAATTGAAACGTGAAACATTTCCGTGGACGCTCGAGTACCCGAGATCAAAGGAGTACTGAGGGTGGGAACCCCCAAACCGGCTCGTCCTAGCTAGGTGGGAGGCAGATTCCAATCTTCGGAGCTTGGAGTAGAGAAACCGTTCTGGCATCGTCCGAAGCCCCTATATCTTAATGAAGCCCCCAAGCGGAGGAGGACTCCGAGAGTGCAGGCCAGACGTTTTGGTTGTCGGCAGGCACCGAGCCCCGCTGCGGTCTGGAGCAGTTCCTCGTGCCTTCAGCAAACTTTTTGTCTGAGGGTTGGGAAGTTTCAGAATTGGGGGTTGTTGCAGGTTTATAGCAGCTGAAAAGCAGGGAGTCGTGGTGAGTCGTGAAAAGGAGCCTGCTTGAAAGTCCCGTTGGGGTTCACGTGTCGACTTGGTGCCCAAGGCTGGTTGCCGAGATCACCTCCTGGCACCAAAGAAGGCTAGGCTTAGAGGTCCTGGGTAGTGGATGGTGGACTCTTTGGCTGGATGGGGAGGATGCCCAGCTGAGTTTCTTCAGAGTTTTGTAACTTCTTGCTGCAGCGGTCCACAAACTTGAGAATGATTGAAGCGCTAAGGATGACGACGTGGGCTGGCACTGGGACGCCGACTACGAGGCTCGGGAACGGGGAGACGTGCAGCACCCTCTCCTCGGCACGGTGACATACCTCGAAGCTGGCGGCAGCGTTGCACCCACAGCTGTCCTCGAAGACTGCTTCGAGACTGAGCTTTTGGCAGGGAAAGGCACAGTGGTAGCCAGGGCGCACCTGAGTTTGCCAGTGCCTGGGAAGCATATCTGCTTTGATGGGCGGCTACTGCATGCCGCACCTGCACAGCTGCGGGAGATCTTTGGCACTTGTGCCTCCGCCGAGGTCCAATGCCTTGGTAAATCCAGGCGAAGGAAGCCATCACGCACGACACTCTTGGTCAACATCTGGCAGGGGCATCAACCCAAGGACCCTCGGCCCTTAGCCCTGGCAATGGCAACTAAACTTGCCCCAGCGGTGAACACGTCCCCATTCTCTTTGGGAAGCGGCGATCCAGCAGCGCCTTTGGAATTGCGAGTGGGTCGTGGAACGCGGGCTCAAGAGATTTCTTGGCAATTTGGGGAGGACGACTTGATGTCAGTTTGCTTGCCCATACCTGAAACCACGGACATAAAGGCGGACTCCATCGCCCTCCGGTTCGTTGATGGACGGTATGGTTGTGTCGGGTGAAGGGCAAGCTCTTGTTTTGCAGAATCTGGCCGGCAGCGTGACGCGGAGTCAGGTCTCGAGGCGTGCATCTTCTCTCGAAAAGTCCACTGCTCGTGTTTGTGAAGACGTCGCTTGCATCCTCCCAGACGAGGTGCAAACATGGATCGGTGCCCGGCATGAAGATGGCAATGGTTACCGTGGCTACTCCGTGGTCCTGCCTGAAAAAGTGACGAGCATGTATCTGGAGATCCTAGCTGGCAAAGAAATTGACGACGCCGCGTGCTGTCCTGCCGCACTGCGTGTGATTAAAGATGTTGAATTGATACACGTACAGGCCCTTAATTCGAGTATCACTCATGAGCCCCAAGCCACACAGCTGAAGATGTATTCCCGGGTGTTCTTCCAGACACCTGTGCTCCAGGTTGGGCACTGGGCGCCCTCGCGACCTTTTCGGGCGTGATTTGCTCGGTGCTGCAACTCCAAGGACTGCTCGAAACAAGGAGGCAGGGAACTGTAGACATGTCGGGCTAGCTGGATTTTGGCATCGGCCTGTCGACTACAGTGACTGCTTAGAGCTATGGTGTGCAATACCACAGCTATTGCTGTCACATTCCGTGTGCTTTTTGACTTTCCTTCTGGCTCTCAGTGCAAGGTACGGGTAGAAACCTCTGCGATCATGAGAGCAACACGGGCTCAGCACGGAGTCTACATTCTGCACATTTCCTTAACTCCGCGCTTGCACTTCAAGCAGTTCTTATCGGAAGCTCCTGTCAAGAAGTTTACTGTCAGCATCAAGATCTCAACTTATCGGCAGGTTGGCCTAACGTCCGGCATTCAACCCGGCAGCGCAGGACTGCATGACGGACGGACAAATGATAAGGACCTTCACCGGCTTTTGGGCATTGCTCAGTTTGCAACAAACTCGAACGGAAGCTCCCGAAGTGCTCACGCCCGCTGCATCATGGTCCTCTTGCCGCCATGCCGGCAAAGGGAACGAAGAAGAAGCGCGGGGCAGGCTAGGGTCGCGGGTCTTCGTCTTCATGGGAGCTGAACATGTCAAGGTAGAAAGCAGGTCTAGCTCAAAGCGTAATGCCTTTGTTCATGATTCCCATGAGGAGCAATACCTCTTGCAGTATCAAGTTCCAGCTCAATGAAGTGAGTCTGTTAGCAGGGCGTAGACGGCCTGAAGCACACCCTGGGAGCAAGCATTACGTCGGTCGGCCAGTCGCCACCTCACGTGCGTTTGACTCCCAAAAGCTGTCGAGAGGAAAAGGTTAGGCCCGACTTGGAGGGAGAAGTGAGCCTGAAGGCAATGCGGTGTGGGCTTTGGCAGCCGTCACAACGCTTGCCGCGACTGCGGCTGTGGCTTCTGTTCGACTGCAGGCAATCGTACTTTTGCTTCTCCAGAGGTTCAGCAAAAACCGGGGCTGCAAGCCGCCGTGATGAGCTTGTAAACGGTAGAATCCCGGTAGAACTCACATAGGCGGCGTTCTGCGCGGCCCAAGATTTGCTTTGTCAAGTGCTGTGACCTCACCGTGAGTTGTACTCGGCAACCGCGGCCGATGAGACACCGCAGCCGATCCGGCCCAGGACAAGCTGGGAGGGGCAAGGGGACGCCTGCGAATTTCGGTGCTCTTGTGTTGCTATAATGGACGTTCTAGGCACTAGCATTCTGAGCCGGTCAAGAGTTGAGACAGGGTGAGATCCTCTTATACGTTGTTTGGTATCCCAGGCACAGCCGGTGTCTCTCGTCAACGCAGCGGGGGCATTGCATGCACGCAATCGTACTAGCAGTGCCCATTCTGTGGTCCACTCTTCTCTTCGATCGTCATTGCGGCCTGTATTCCATCGGATCGTTTAAGACCTTGGTGTATCGGTCGGCATTCATGACATGGATGCATCGATGTTTCATTGTTGGGCATGTCCTAATCAGTGCAGTTGGGCATTGGCCAACCAGTGTCCCGGTTGAACTTGGAATGTCTACATCATTGTGTCGGTCGATCAGCGACAATGTAATGACTGCCGGTATCTCCACGCATCATTTACAATTCTTCCTGCATCCTTCTCATGGGTGATGGTCACGGTCGTCGTTTGTTTCGCTTGGTGCTGCCAATTGTGATGTGGCCTTGACACCGAGAAGTGTCCGCAAGCAATACCGGAAAGAAGAAACACTTGCGGCATGTCAAGTGGGCTAGAAGTCATGCTGAATCCAGGGAACCTGCTGATTTGGGGTGTGCTGGCCACGCCTCAGCACCAATGACCGTCACTCGACCGAGGCAATGAGCACAAAAACCACCATCTGGGATCCCGAACATGTCCGGACTGAGCCGAAGCACCAACAAAAGCCCAAAAGCCCTATCAGTACCTCAGTGTTCGCACTGGACTTCGATGGACACTTCCCGACGCTTGCTGCACAAGGCATGCACCCGACGCCAAACACATTGAGTAACGGGATATTGAGCTGTAGACCAGAGGCTGCAGTCCAACATAGCGACCCGAGCACAGACAGAGGCTGAAATGCGTGCTGTGCGGAGCGCACCAACCATGCAAAACGTGCCAAGGCATCTTGGCGTTTCTGCAGCAAGTCGTTGCTAGCACCAATGCCTGCACATCAGCATCTGTAGTATACACAGCGCCACTAGTGAATGCAGTGCAAGCAGTAGTGACATGTTGCTGCACTGCACACCTCAAGCTTTGGATTTGCTGGGTGGTGGTTTCTGGGGTGGTTGTAGGGGCAAGGAACTCCGAGAACAGTTGCTTTAATGTCGTTTGCAAGCGGGTTTGCTTGCTCGCCGAAAATGTGCAGAGCTTGGCCGCAGGAGACGGAAAAAGGGGCAAGACAAGGGGACCACCGTCAGTCGATCCAAGGACGGTGCGGACGACTTCATTTTATTTTCATGTCGTCCACGTATTCGAACGGCATCAGCTTTTAAGATTAGGCATCATGCAGGGATTGCAGTTCCCGGGACGGCCATAACCTCTTTATTGGCGACCGGCCAATTTAAGCCAGTTTCTTGCACCACTGGGGTCAGATCGCCTTGCTCCTGTGCCGTACAGGAAGTGCCGCATCGGCAGCCCGATATCCAGGCCGACGAGGAGCCCCACATCCAGGTGCAGGCGCAGGTCCGGTGCCTGTGAAGGGCTCCGGCCTTGTAATCTGTGAGGCAATTGAGCTTTGACCTTCTCCTTAGGATAGAGATAGATAGTTTAGATAGTTACCGAATATGTGTTGTTACAATCAGTAAGTAGGAGAGGCAAGCCGTGATGCCACTAAGGCCAAGCACGAGATAAGCCAGCGCGAGGATCCAGCTGACGAGGCAAAATGCAACAAGTTAAACCGCCAGCTGCTTTCGTGACATATGTCTCACATGAGCTACCAGATTACCCCAACACACATGCGCTAGCAACCAGAGATCGACCCACCGGACAATCTGTCACCTTGGCCAGAATAGCTCGCATGTGCCACCCACACACCCGCACACCCGCACACCCATCCACACCCACCCACACACACACACACCCACACCCACACCCACACCCACACCCACACCCACACCCACACCCACGCACGCACGCACGCACACACGCACCCACGCACGCACGCACGCATAATCCCGCATAACCACGCA